GCTTTTGGGGAAAAGTCATGGGAGGCCCCTGTCCGCTTTATAAGAAAGCACTTACACAATGGAAAAGCACATTACGATTTAAAAGTCATCTCAATGACACCTTTCCACACTGCTAATCGGCCAAACTGAGACACAAGCGGTGTGTATGCGACTAAGGTCTGGAGAGTTCACGAGCCCTTTGCCTCACATATATCCTGTATGACAGCATTTCATCACAGAGGTCGGCTTGACGAGGAAATCAGGTCATACCTCCGCGAGGTTCTCCCAGCTAAGTGCGTTACTAATGGGATATAATATTTCCTGACTCTGTTATGACACCATAACACACGACAGCTGCTTTGGGTCAGTGGCTCGCTATTATTTGGAATTTCTCAGCACATGTGAATGCGGATCTCAAACAACCCATTGGTGACTGTGACGTGATAATGGCTCTGTGAAAACAATGCGTTTTCGTCACTGAGCTCAATAACTGTAACGCCAAAAGACTCCGAAGCCTTAAGAGTGGACAGTAGCACAGCTTTTAAACACTGTGTGCATAACAACTGATTTAAACCCCAATATATTTACAACATCTTTCAATGTACTCACTTTATCTTCTTGTTCAAGTGAGAATGGGGACATTAAATTATTTTTAACCTGCTACCTGCTGTAAGCTGCGTAACATATCTGATGCTCCTGTGTGAGAACAGCCCAGGTATTTGCAAGTTGACGTCACGCGTCCTTCTACCTGCGTGGCAGCATCTTCACTTTCCAGAAGTGAAAATACATCTGAGCAGACTATCTGCACTAATCTGATATATGTACACATGTGAAAGACTACCTTTGATTGTCTGGACTTGATTTTCCCACCATTGCCTTGAGTTAAATTCACATTACTTTATGATACTCTTTTCACCTAGTTGTCCGACTTATTGCATAAATCACTTAACAGTTATCTAGAAACCAATCTGATCTATCTCCAGTAGTTCATCTACGGCATGTTCATCTTTGTTGTGTGAGAAAAAAAGCGTACCGTACTTTTCCTAACTGTTGGGTACCGTGTGATGACAAAGGCACTAACCACACCTGACACTCAGAAGTTGTCAGGTGTTCAAAAGTACAACTTCTAAGTGTGCTTTTGAACTGTAACACTTTAGACCACAGGGTGTGGATTAATACGATAACAGAAATCTGTGGACATTTCCACTTACTGCTGAGTAGAAGTGATGGACGCATAACAATCCCTCACCACACACTGGTACCAATGAACCTAGAGACTTTCCCCACATCCACCTTTTGTCAGATTCACATTTGAAACATACAAATAAAGAAACAATACAACCAAGAGCATCATCCAGCAGCTGTCTGTGGCATTACGTTTCAATGCAGGCTGCAGAGTTTCAGCAACAAAATGTCTCCGTGTCAAAGTTTCCCTCAGCAACATGCTGTAGCCTAAGTTGCTTTGGAGGCAAAAACCAGAGTGATATTTCTTTCAGCTCTCTGCTCTCATAGGATTTCTACGGTGACGATATTTATGGCAGCACTGATGATACGAAACCTTCAATTCCTCCAGTTTAAGCAAAGAGCAAAACCTGCCAATGATTGTTGAGGTTCTCATTTAACAACCACTTTATCCTAATGCATAGTCTAATATGATCTCTATATATTTGTAGATTAGAAATCTATTAGAAAATTACTAGGTCATTGAGTTTATTGTTACTTTTTTGAAGATGATTTTCTGATTTTTTTCATTTGCCTTTCGTGTTATTGTTAGCAGAGAACACGTTTTATTAAAATTGAGAGCAGCTGTTAACATCCGTTTGACTTCTTTCAGGAATTCTATTCAAAACATGGCGCTTCTTCCATTTTTAATATTATTTTTCTCTTTAAGAGATTCGTGTCCTTAGAGAAGGTGAAATGGATTCGGCACCTGAGAGCGACGCGGTTTGCACTACTGTAGGTATTTACGTATTATATCATTGTGTCAGCATGTGCATGTTTGTGCAGTGTGTGGGCACAGACAATAGGCCTTTGTCTCTTCGTATCCTATTTTTCTGCAGTGGGCTGACACACACACACACACACACACACACACACACACACACACACACACACAGTTCCTCCTGGCTTCCGTCAAGTTACAAGAGTTTAGAGACAGCAAAACAGGAACAATCTGATCTTCGCTTCCTGCCTCACGTTTCCTGCCCCATCAACCCCCCACACCTCCTCAAAATAATGGCAATGAATAAAAGAGCGAAAAGATGGCGATGGTGGGAGAGAGAGATGCGGTTGCATGTGCATATGTGAATACAGGTAGTGTGAAGTGAGGACGGGGCCAAGAGAGTCATGAGAAAAAGGTGAGACTGAGTTCAGAAGTGATTCTGCGGTGGGCAGGCGATGACTTATAACAAGTTTACTACACGAAGTGACGACACTGGAATACTTGATTAAAAGTTTTAAAGTGCGTTGATGCATTTTAAAGGTTTCCTTACTTATCTTATGATCGCTTGAAAGTTTCCCACACTACTGACATACTCTTACACCTATGAGCAAAATGAAGTCACGTAGTTTGGTAATTAGAAGGCTAACCATCGACATTGCTGACAAGCTTTTGCAGTAACAAGCAGACTCCAGTGAGGTATTCGGTCAATTGCAGCTCGGCGCATCTGCAGCAGTGCTGGCGGCATGACTGCGGAGGACTTTAGAATGCACGGGTCAAGTCAGACTTTGGGAAATACCCCTCATGGGTCTCTTTGGAACTAAAACGAGGTCATTCATCAGCTCGTGAGGCTAGCTTAAAAGCATGATCTCACATGAAAAATTACAAAGCAAATGGAAATGTGAAGAAGCCTGCGGTGCTGTTGTGTCAAGTTCATTCAGACTTCTGCTCCTCACTAAAACACCTCTCCTCTTTTTTTTTTATAACTTTTACTGTTTCTCTGAGCATCTGCGTGTGGTGCTAAATATGTAAACAGATTAATGATTCAATTTAAAGAAGGTTGGTTATGCTTGAATTTGTTGTGCAGCCTGTTAAGGTGGCCCAGCGTAGTGCTGTTGAGACATGCATGTGGGCCGCAAGTGTAAATAAATGTTTCCATGAATTGGAGGATTAAACTGTCAACTCCACTCAGTAATTCTTAAACTTTGTGACTCTCAAACGACTGAACTTGAACGTAATACGCACCAGTAATTTTGCGACACCCATACAAAGAAAGGTCACAATGCACGTTATGCAGCTTGGTTATGACACACACACACACACACACACACTAACTTAGAGCACCTGATGAACTGCGGTTCTGAAGAAGGAAGTGAAAACTCAGTCCATCTGCTTTGACAGGAAGTCAACAGAAGCCACATACAGGCTTGCTGACGTCAATCAGAGCCACAGGAACACCTCCCTACAGCGCGCGCGCGCACACACACACACACACACACACACACACACACACACACACACACACACACACACACACACACACACACACACACACACACACACACGCCAACATTACTCACAATACTTGATGATTATATGATATAAAGTGAGCATCTTATCAATCCGCATCCACTGCAACATTGTACAGAGTTTGGATACAATTGCACGAAACGCTCACTAACACATGTCGCTGAGTTAACTGTGCACACAGCAGCGCGCGCGCACACACACACACACACACACACACACACACACACACAGACATTGTATAAACAGCATAATGCGTTACTTCCCTTTCAACGACATGAAGTCATGTATTTGAGCAATAACACAAACAGACCAGTAAGGACTAATTCAACAACAATGTGCTGAATTATGACTTATTTGGACTCAAAAATGAAAGAAGATTAGAAGCTGTCTGATCCTCCTGAAGAGCTCAATATGGAAGCTGCCCCAAACAAAGGAGACTAAAGAAACTGTGCGAGGCTTCATTTTCACTGGGTTAACCGTGATACCTTATCTGGCCTGAATGGGTTTCATGTCAAACATCTTGGTTATTTGATGGTTAACTGCCTCGCCATTCTCAGTTTCACTGTTGCTCATCTCGGTCTCTCTTTATACAACAACACATTGTCTGGGACTGTTTTTAATACCCTTTGCAGACAGTGTGGGAACATCTGCCTACAGATGCGAGGTCTCATAGTTCACTCTTTTAATAAAAGAATGAAAGACAAATGTTGATGCATCTTAAAATGAATATTTTGGGGAAAACATCATTTTTAGTGCACATTCAGTTATCGCCTATGGCAAACGTGACATATAACTGTGTGCAAAGACTGCATTTCCTTTTAATCTCGTGCAGCTCCTGTCTGGTTTAGCTGGTTGCCGTGACATGACGGCTTTATAACGACACTTGAAGGAGACCTGCGCACATGTCCGATGTGTACACTTTTAACTGTAATTACTGCTCGCGCCTCTGTGAAACGAATGACCTCGGCTGAGCAAGTGCACAAGAACAAATCTTAGCACTACACAGAGGACTGAAAGGACTTTTCACTTTCCAAAGACACAAATAAAGTTATCTTCGCCCGTACATGTACTCACACACTGCCTCTTACTGGCCTGGACATGTACGAGTACAGTACAGAAAGTCACACGGCTGCTTAAAATCAAGTGCGATGAAAGATGAAAAGGGAGGTCTGCTGTTTTCTTTAAAGCGAGCTGGTTTAATAGGAAAAACTGTGTGTGCAAGTGTGAGTCTCAACCGCCAGTCTAATTGCAATAGAACAAAGTTAATGAGCTTGATGACAAAATAGTCCGGGTTACAACGCTGGAGATGGAGACAGATGGTGGGGGGGAAAAAAGAAAGAAAAAAGAAAATGTAAGTGGTCACGTAGGCGAATTCACGGGACAAGGAGAAGACAGGAGATAGAGCGAGGAAGGGAGGGAGGAGGAGATGATGATGAAAACAAGGAGAATAGAGAGGTTGAATGTGTGCACCAGATATAAAACAAGATAACTTTGTATCTGGTAGCTTGGCACAGGTCAAACATGTAGGGGGACATTTCTCTGAGCCGCTTACCCGGGAGACAAACTCTGGTGACTGGAGGCTGAGTTGTTGCTGCAGGAGAGCGCCTGGAAGGACGAAAACAACACAGAAAGGGGGAAAGAAAGGTGCTATAAAACAAAGACTACCACAGATATATATTTATATAGAAACACTAGCAAATCTTACTTGAAAATTTAAAAACCAAACACAAAACAAACAAACAAAATAAACAGATTTTAGAGGCTCTGGCAATAATATATAGATATGTGGACGTTGCGTGGACTCCGGGCAGTCCTGTGGAAAAACGAAGTACCCCATGATTCATCAGCTGTACCCCACCTTTAGCTGCGATAACTTCAAGTAACTGTTTTCTGTATGACTGTCTCACACATTGTGTGGGAATTTTGGCCTACTCTTCTTTACAACGCTGCTTTAACTCATTGATGTTTGTGGGGTTGGTTTATGCACAGCCTGTTAAGGTCCTGCTACAGCATTTCAAACAGGTCGAGGTCTGGACTTGGACCATCGCTGCTATGCTTGAGAGAGCCCTCCACAGACCTGCTTGACAGTAGGTATGATGCTAATATGCTGTGTTTGGTTTTCTCCACAGTGGTGCTGTGCACGACAGCTGAACATCTTCACTTTGGTTTCGTCTGTCCAGAAGTCGTGCAGTTTGCTCAGATGCAGCTTTGCAAACTTAAGCTGTGTTGCCATACATTTGTTTCTAATTATACTTTTGTGAACTTAAAACATTTAAAATGCTAACTGTGGCTAGCTCTTGGGTTTTCTGCAATTCCTCTGAACATTGCACAGTCTGACTTTGGGCTGAAGTTGCTGCATGTGCGTCCACACCTGGGAAACACACACCTGAATGCTCTAGAGCAGCAAACTGAAAAAGTGTACGTTTTTTAAGCATTTAGTTGCGTGTTTACATGTTGCATTTCCTGGTTGAACTGTGTGAAAAGTTTCAAACAGTCAAGGCAGGGGTTGCAGTGTATAAATAGACTGAATACTTTTAGGTGGAGCTGGTCAGTGTTCTGCAACATGTTGCTAAACACATCAGTTTTAACCTCCTGAGAGCCCGTGTCCTCATATGGGGACATTACTGTTTCCTTCTTGCTCTTTGCTCAACTGTGTGAATGTGTATGAAAAAGTCAGTATAAACAGACTAAATGTTGGTATTTTGGCAGTGGCCGGTGGGCTGAAACACGTTAAAGACATTAATCTTAACCTCCTGAGGCCCCGTGTCCTCATATGGGGATGTTGCATTTTGGCTTTTCTGCTCATTATTCTCTATTCAGCTAAATATTTTACACTTTTTTTGTTTTGTTTTATGCTGTACAATGAACCCACCGTCCCTATTTTTTTAAAAGTTTAACTGAGCTTGATTAGTATAAAAATAACCCAAATAAGAAATCGGGTTAAGTGAAAACTGTGCATGTGTGCTGGAATGGCGAGCTCCAGCTTATGTGTGTGTTTAATTCAGTATACGTGAACGATCCACGTTTGTGCGCCGTGTGTGCTTCTCAGTCTTTGCTCTTGTCTGTGTGGAGCTATCAGAGCTAAATGTAGGTCAGACGGGCTTCAGGTAGTCAATACAGAAAACTGAGCGTTAATTCAGCCTGAGGCAGAGCAGAGAGCTTTTAGTGTCTTTAGAAACACATATTCATACTTAAACCTTCACAGTGACGAACAGAAAGAAAGGTGGCCTACATACATATTTCTAGTACATCTAAATCTGCAGTCGCACTCCACTGGGAGAGATGATGCTCAGTGTGCTGCTGCAGCTTAAAGCAACACTGTTGAAAAACGGAGCACTCTTACTTAACTATAACTATAAACGACACGTATATTGTTGAAAAAAAAAAAGCTAGCCTTTTGAAAGAGAGAGACATGAAAAAATTGAAAAACTAAATAACGACACATTTTCTTCTTCTTTTTGGCATCTGAAGAGAGATTGTAACTAGTCTCCTGCGTTATCGTATGCCAAACGCATATATGCTGCAGCGGCCTCTGAAGTGGTGCACGGTGAATGCCAATGAGTCACTTCATGCGTGTGTAGCTGCAGGAGTGTTTTTCTGTTTGTGCTTCATGTGCTTCATGACAACAGAGGAATTCCTTATAGAGCATTTGAACCGTGCCGTGCACAGCAGAGAACTATTCCTATTGCTCTGGAAACCAGAGAGGAGAAGAATTAAAGATTCCTTCGGCTGTAGCATCGTGTTGAGTTAACTTTTCAAATCTAGCTTGTACTCATTTTTGTCTGTCTGAAGTATGTAGGGTCTTCACTGGACTGGTTTAACTGTTCTGCTGCACTGATGTCAAGCATCCCACTTCAGTCCCACTGCAAGACAATGCCTCCCCCTTGTGACAAACTGGTGGAACTGCAGACGGCAAGCGTTATTCTGATTACTTTCTAAAATCTAATATTATTCTGGGAAAAAAGCATTTACACTTACCACAAAATATGTGGTAAGTTATGTAGATTTCAGCTTGATTGATGTGTATGCATGAATTATGCCAGCTCATTATTTAAAATATGCTAGAAGCCACTAGAGGTACTTACTTGTTGGAGGCACACTGGACATTGGTCAGTACAGTGAAGTTATTCCTTACACTTCGAAGGCTTGCAAGAACCTGAACAAGCAGAGAGCGAATCAGTAGCATTCTTCGCACTTTTACTTATTTACTTCAATTTAAACATTAGGACGAATGTTGCTAGTCCTGTTCAAACTGAGCCCTTTTTGCACCGCATGCACATTTCAAGCCTGCATTTTAGATTTCAGTTTTGCAACTACTTACATGTATGCTGATAACCGTGGTATTTATTGAAAGATTTACTTAAAATAGGCTTAGTTTGAAGATAAAAACATAAATGTGTACATACAACTAGATAACGGGATATTTACCTGAGCAAAAGGTGTTACGATCAGGTCATCACCATGTCTAAAAAGAAACAAACCATCGTCAGCAAAATGCTTGGATACAAAATATATCAAGAAAATGAGAGAACTGTTAAGAAAAAGAGCAAAAAGAAATGACCCAAGCAGCTTTGTGCAACAACCTAATAAATGGGAAGGAAAGTATCGTGGGAGAACGCGTACCTGGGTCAAGGAGGCCTCGATATTGAGATTAACCTATTTTTGTTAGCTGAGGTGGGGACAGAAAGTGACTCTTCTGTGGGTCCAAAAATATTGTGATAATGTGGTCAGTGAGGAGATCCTTATATCGTTAGGTCCATATGTTTTTTGGATAAAGGCACAACCTTTGTAATGTTAAACCTTTCAGCAGCCTTTCAGCTTTAATACAAGAAGGTGAACAAATAGATGGCACGAACTGCTTAGGAATTACAGACTCAGAAGTAACTGGACAAAAGTTTCTAGAATTTGTTTTTGGCAGCTGTTCACTGAAACCCTTGATACGAGGTAAAATATGAAATCAGTGCAGTGAAGGAGCCCATCGTTAGGCCGAAAAAACTGAATAAACCCATTGTAGGAAAAGAGATTCCAGGACTGACCAAATGAACAATTTGGTCTGTTCTTATAAGGAAGGCAGCTCAAAATATTCCTCTGTAGGCCAGGAGGATGAGGGATTCTTTCCTTAGTTAAAAGGTTCAATGTCACAACAACTAGCCAAGTCAAGAAGTCGCTCCCAAGGAAGTGGTCAAAGTTTACAGATGAGAGACTCCTTCATGGACAGAAACAGTGAAGGTGCCAACTACAGATAACATTCAAGACCAGGAAGAGAACATCTAAGAGAGATGTTTCCAGAAAAAACACTTTGGCTTGATGAAGCCAAGACTAACAATACACTATTTTCAGGAAATGTTGTCAATATTCTTGCAGTAATTTCATTGTGATCGTCACTACTTACGGTGAACACTCAGTGGCCACCTGTTCAACTGCTCATTAACATAAAATACCCAGCCAGCCTGTCTATCATGTTGGTGCCAGACTGGCTGGTCTGAATATTTCAGAAGCTGTTGATGTGCTGGGAATTTTCCCACACAAACATCTCTTGGGTTTACAGAGAATGTTCTGGAATAAATAGAAAAAATCCAGCGAGCGGCAGTTCTCTGGGCAAAAATGCCCCGTCGATGCCAGAGGTCAGAGGAGAATGGATAGACTGCGTCGAAGAGACAGGATGGTAACAGCAACTCAAATAACCAATCGCTGCAACCAAAATATGAGGAAGAGCATCTCTGAACGCTGAAGGAGATGAGAAGCAGAAGACCACAGCAGGTGCCGCTCCTGTCAGCTAAGAACAGGTTGAACAAACTCACCAAAATCTGATAACAGACGATGGGATGGTGCCTGATCTGATGAGTCTTGATTTCTGCTGCCACATTTAGGTGGCAGGGTGAGAATCTGTCCTTTCTCCTGCTGCTGATGAAAGGGTGTGGTGCATAGAGCATCATTTAAACACCACATCCTACTTGAGTATTGTTCCTGACCAAGTTCATCCCTTTACCATCCATCATAGGTCAGATCATCTCAAATTATCTGATTACTTGATCACGACACATAAATGGCCTTCACAGTCACCAGACTTCAATCCAACAGAGCGCCTCTGGGACATGCTGGAGCGGGAGAGTCGCATCATGGATGTGCAGCTGACAGATCTGCAGTAGGTGTGTGAAGCTATCATGTCCATATGGACCAAAATCTCAGAGGAATGTTTGCAGCACCTTGTTGAATCTGAGTAACAGAACCTGGTAATAGCAAAGTGTACCTAATTAAGTAACTATGGAGTGTATTCAGTCAGTCAGTTGATGTCCACTGAGCTACGTGCACAGTATGACAACATACTGCACGTATTAGTTAAATAATACTTTTAATGTACTAAGGTCAAGCATAGTGAAACATCTTCATTTACTGGAAGTGCAGATTACGAAAAACATTTCCTCACATGTAAAGTGATGATTGTGCTGAATTGACTCCTCCGATCTATGACATGCAAAGCAGTCAGCACAGTGAGAATAATTTTCGAGAAGAGAGCAGTAGTGTTTGTGGTGGAGGCCAGATATGCAAAACCTGGAATGCATGAACACAAACCAGGACTGACGGCGTCTAACAACCTGTGGCATTTTGCACCGTTAAAAAGCTGCAGAATCAAGTTCACTTGAGGTGAGAGCACCTCAACACCTGACCCTAAAAAACATACTTACTGAACTAATTTCAAACTAATTGCAATTTATTTCTACTCACAGTTCAGAGGCGATGGAGGAGTTTCGTGACATGGACTTGGGGGACAGTTCATAGTCGCTGTCTGAGCGATAGAGGAAGGACTCTCGGCGCTGGTTGTGACCTGGGAAGTTGGTGTGGAGGACCAGACCGGAGCCAGGGGAGGCCTGAGGGTCCAAGGGGCTGCAGCTAGAAGAGGGTCCATTCTCCACATCGAAGCTGAAAACATAAACGCACAGTTAAAAAGCGAATTCTTCGCTGTTTCACTGTTTCATTGCTGAGAATATGGGGGCTAGCTTTAAGGGTCAAAGCAACAAAAGACTCCACCAGCATCTTTTGCTTCTGGCTTTCCTCTAATTTCATCGCGTCTCTCTTTGATTTCCTTTTGTTTTCACTATCAGGCAGCCTGACCTTGACCTAATTTTAATGGTGGAGCGTGAAAAAAGGGCAAGATGAATTCTTCCACATGTCAACATCCTATGAACAGATCGCGCTCCCACACACACGTATATTCATATCTTGTGGGGACATCTAATTGACATAATGCTTTCCCTAGCTCGTCACCCTAAACCTAACCATGAAAAATGAATTCCTAACCTAATTGTAACCCCTGTTCCCACCGTTCAAACTTGTGGGGATTTTGGTCCCCATAAGGGCCGTTGGTCCCCACAAAGATATGAATACACGCTTACACACACACACAAAATAAATCATGAATAAACCGGACAAGAAAGGGCAGAGTGACACACACCGGGGCGCACTGTGTTCCTTCACTGATGACAGTTAGTGAGAATGATGCTGCTAAATTCATGGAAAGAAGAACGTGGAGGAATGGAGGAAGGGGAGGTTGACCTCCTTACGACACCCACTGAGAAGGAGGACCTTGAGACTCTAGAGACTGTAGGTTTTTTTTGGGTTTTTTGGCTGTGGTTTATCCTCCCAGACATTTTTCCAAAGAAACAATCTGCATGTGACATTTACTTTCTTGTATTTTTCTCTGTACTTTACGCTTGTCAGCTTCTTTTCTTTTCCGTCTTTATAGTAAACACACACCTGCAGGAAGTGTGCCGACTGTTGCGCTACAAACAAACAAGCCATAAAGAATAATATTAACTAAAATTAGTTTATTGGATTTCCTATATTGTGATTTTTCCCCTGTATCTCTTCTCCAAAGCGGCCACTCTTCTTTTTATCATAAGAAAAGCTCAAAGTGGTAAGTGACTAAGTGAACAAAAGGCACCGAAACAGGCTTTATACTCCTGTGACTATCTGTAAAGCATTTGGGAATGAATGAGGAGGCGTTCTGGGTTTTTCTCCCCCCTTTCTTTCCTTCTCTTCCTATCCCCAGGGAAAGTCAGATGCAAAAAGGCAAATAATGGCCATCTGGGTCCAGACCCAAAATGAGAACACATGTCACGTGAGCAAAAAGCTCTGCGATGAAAATAAAAAGCAGCGGCAATTTGGTGCAGCGTGAGGAAGTTTATATGGTTGCAGTTTTTCAAGCTCATATAAGAGTATTAAGAAAAACAGGAAGTAAATGAGACAATAAAAACCTCAACGAGCACGAGCTCCGTTTAACTGCATCACAATCACGGGCAAACACAAACAAGCCGCAGCATACACTTTCTGCTTCTCGGCTCCTCCCATCGATGGACCGTCGACTTCATGTCATGGGCGGTTCAAGGAGTCACAGACATGCAGAGACGCAGCTGCTGTGAGGGTGCAATAGCATCCTTACTGCCAGCCAGCAGGCCAAAATGTAGAATTACATATCAATGTAAGCTGTGTTTATGTTAAAGTTATTGAAAAAAGAAAAACTCATTTTAAAATGACTGTAAGATTAAAATAATGACAATTTCATGATAATTAGAAGGATGTGACTGATTAAAAGCACATATGTGGGGAAATTAAACAGCTTTAACACATCTGCTCAATTCAAGGCATTCAAAGCTACGACAGAGTGTAAAACAAGCTGCTACGGAGATACAGGAGCAATAATAGTTTACATAAAATCCCATAATTCCACTGGTACTGGGAAGATAGTGGCATAATGTGAGAGGTGAAAGGGAAATGGTACAAAAATACACAAGTAACACCAAAAAGTACGTAACTCTGTGGTGTGAGCTGTTTTCTTATTTATGGCGACATGCACCTGCATCCACACCCATTTGGTGTGGATGTTCGGGATTTATCTCATAATATTTAATAAGCTCATTTGTTGTAGGCAACAACATCTAAATCTGTCTGTTAACACATGCTGTCAGGTAAATGTAACGAAAGCAAAAGTTGGAGTGGAGGCACAAAACCTCTAGAGTGGAAAACGTGGACTCAATTTGAGAACACTTAAACCTCACGTTGAGTCATATCCCATCAGAGGGATGTTATGCTAATGTGAGTCATGGAAGAAGGTGTTGTGGTGGTACCGTTACACAACAGGAAAACACAAACAGTCAACACACAGTCATGACAGCCTTTGTCTTTTGTTAGCAATACCACACGATTGGATGTCCTAAAAGCAATTTAAAGTGTATAGACAGCATAGTATGCTTAGACCTGTGGAAAAGTCATACCAGGAAAGTCTAAGGAGCTTGGAAGGAAAAGTGTCTTTGTCATCCGAGAAGCTTCTTCAGGTCTAGGATGAGAGGTGAAACGTCTTCAAGTGTTACCGTGGAGACAAAGACTATCACAACGTTTCCCAACCAGAAGCCGTGGGTGGATAAAACCATCCGCGACGCTCTGAGATCCCGCACCGCTGCCTACAACACGGGACTCATGACGGGGGACATGGACCCGTACAAAGCCGCGTCATATAACGTGCGGAGGGCGGTGAAAGAGGCGAAGCAGCGCTACGGGAGGAAACTAGAGTCACAACTCCAACAGAGTGACTCTAGGAGCCTGTGGCGGGGACTAAGGACAATAACGGACTATAAAGCACCAACAACCGGTATGACGAACGCGGCCGTGACTCTGGCAGACGAGCTGAACACTTTCTATGCTCGCTTCGAGGCTGCAGCTAAGGACTCCAACAATGCTAGTGTTAGCGGCGCTAACGGCTGCAGACAGGAAGATACTGCCAGCACCGGAAACGTGCTCGTCATCTCCGAGCATGAAGTAAGGAGAGCCTTCAAGAGAGTGAACACCAGGAAAGCAGCAGGACCAGACGGCATCCCAGGTCGTATCCTAAGAGACTGCGTATACCAGCTAGCTCCTGTGTTCACTGAGATATTCAACATCTCTTTATCTCAGTCGGTGATCCCCACATGCTTCAAAGAGTCCATCATTGTTCCTGTCCCGAAGAAACCCCACCCTGCTTCTCTCAATGACTATCGCCCTGTAGCCCTCACCTCAGTAGTGATGAAGTGCTTTGAACGCCTGGTCAGAGACTTCATCATTTCTTCACTACCAGACACACTGGACCCACTACAGTTCGCTTACCGTCCAAATCGTTCCACAGACGATGCCATCTCTCATCTCCTCCACACATCACTCACTCACTTGGACACTAGAAGGGGGAATTATGTTAAAATGCTCTTCATAGACTACAGCTCTGCATTTAACACCATAATTCCCTCCACACTCACCACCAAGCTGGAGCATCTGGGACTCAGCTCATCTATGTGTCAGTGGATCTCCAACTTCCTAACTGGCAGACCACAGGCAGTAAGGATGGGCGGACATGTCTCAGCCTCCACCACTCTCAGCACTGGAGCCCCCCAGGGGTGTGTTCTGAGCCCCCTGCTGTACTCTTTGTACACATATGACTGTGTGGCCACTACCAGCTCCACCACCATCATCAAGTTTGCTGACAACACCGTCGTGGTGGGCCTGATCTCTGATAACAACGAGACGGCCTACCTGAAGGAGATTAGGAATCTGGAGAACTGGTGCCAGAGGAACAACCTCCTTCTAAACATCAGTAAGACAAAGGAGCTGATAGTGGACTTCAGCACTAAGCAGGAGAGGAACTACCAGACCCCCGTCATCAACGAGTGCCCAGTGGAGAGAGTGGACAGCTTCAAATACCTCGGAGTTCACATCACGCAGGACCTGTCATGGTCCTGTCACATCAACACCGTGGTGAAAAAGGCCCGACAGCGTCTCTACCACCTCAGACGCTTGAGAGACTTCCAACTGCCCTCCAAGGTGCTCAGGAACTTTTACTCCTGCACCATAGAGAGCATCCTGATGGGAAACATCTTAACCTGGTTCGGGAACAGCACCATGCAGGACAGACGAGCTCTAGAGAGGGTTGTGCGGTCAGCTGAGCGCACCATCCGCTCCGTGCTCCCTGACCTGCACTCAATCTACAGCAGGCGGTGCTGGACCAAGGCCAGGAAGATGGTGAAGGACCTCAGCCATCCCAACAACAGACTGTTCTCTCTGTTGAGGTCAGGAAAGCGATTCCGCTCCCTGAAGACCAACACAGAGAGACTGAGGAGGAGCTTCTTCCCGCAGGCGATACGGTCTCTCAATCACACCACCACACAGTACTGACCCACACATACAGTTCTTACACACACACTGGACATTCTGGACTTTGTTTTCACTTCATTACTTAAATCACGCTGCTGTTATTGTGTATATGCTGCTGTTATTGTGTATATATTTATTTATATTTCTTCATACATTCTTATATAGTTCTATATTGTGTATTTTGTTGTACAGTTATTTTATTTTCAACTTTAATTTATATATTTTATCTTATTCTCCCAGTTAAATTTACCCTTCATTCTAATTTGTGTTGTACAGTTATTTCATTTTTAACCTTAATTTATATTTTATTCCTTCCTAGTTAAATTTACCCTTTTTAATTTTTCATATTTATTTCCTATCTTATTCATAGCCTTTTCCTTTTTTGTTTTCTTTAGGTCACGAGCAGTTGTCCAAGCATTTCACTACATATCGTACTGTGTATGACTGTGTACGTGACAAATAAAATTTGAATTAGAATTTTGATAAAGAAGTGCAGACGCTTTTCTTTCCAAGCTCCTTAGACTACGATGAGCTGGATGACTGAGAACCTTCACAGACCTATAAGAGGGAAAATAGTCAGTTAAGAAAAATCACCAGAATGTGATTTAAATTTACAAAAACCACGTCCTGCAGCTCTTTTCTTTCTATTTAACCCCCCAAACTGGCCAAAGTGCAGTGGTGCTTCCAATGTCTATGGCCACTTTCCAGGATGAAAGCTCTTTCCAACACTGTGGATTGCAGTACAT